CCCCAGACAGCACCTGATATCCCATGGATATCCGTTTTCGTGTCCATTTCATGTCGGAATATCCGCGGACTTTATAAAACATCCATAAGATGTCCATTTGTGGACACACTTTGAATATTCCAAAATGTACATACATGTTTGAATGTACTCATCCCACATAGCACAAATGACTGTTTGCCGGCTGATAGTCGACATTTTTTAGTCACCTTGAAGTCAACTTTTGAAGTCGACATTTAGTGATCTACTATTTATAAGATGGTTTATTGTCGACTTTAACTATAGTGTAGGCGTTTTTATACATTTCCGCTAGAAGATATCACGGTCATGCGTGACTAATCCCAAGCCGACCTGGGATAATGTTTACCGGTCATGTTTGTCTTTCGGCTTTTAGGCCGGACGCGTCTAGACCGGACTAGCATTGTCTTTTTTTCGAGAAGGCCAAAGGTCGGGGTGAGTCAGTGCGCTCACCACTCTCACCCCCCTTTTGTAATAGATTAAGGATAGGTATATAGAGAGCAGGATGAGGGCAGAACACAGAGTCGTTAGATACGTAAGCGAGAGTCGTCACATACGTTCTGCAGAGTCGTCCTCCCGCGCGTCTAATTGTAAGATTGTAACCAAGAGCAGAGGTCCCGGCCGACTGCCCTGAAGAACAACTAAATATATTTAACCCAGCGAACGTCTTCACCATTTTATTTGGCCATCCATCGGGAAACAATCTCGCCACAATAGACTGAAAGTCAACTTAAAATCGACATTTTCAGGAAGTTTAAAGTCGCCCTTCGGTAAAGCGAAAAATTAACTAAAAAATATTTTTTTGTCTTACCGAAAGACATAAAAATCTTTTCATCTTTTTTCTTTTTTTTCGGCAAAGTGCAAAAATGTGTAAAAAATATCTTTTTGGCCAATCTTTCTGGTCAATATGTCGAACCCTTTGACTATATAATCATGGACTGCTAGTTGCCTCCACTTTGCCTGGTCTAACACGTAATCAACATCACGAGTGCCGTCATAGGATAAATGGCAGAAAATCGAAACACTAAGTCAGATTTAATGGTAAAACAGGACAGAAGACAGAGATAGAATATAGCTGTTATATCATGTTTATCAGAGTTCAGAACCAATTATAATATAATTGGTTCTGAACTCTGATAAACATGATAAAACAGCACGACATAAGCTATATTCTATCTCTGTCTTCTGTCCTGTTTTACCATTAAATCTGACTTAGTGTTTCGATTTTCTGCCATTTATCCTATGGTGGCGCTCGTGATGTTGATTACAGCCTGAATGCGGCAACTAGCAGTCCATGATTATGTATAGTCAAAGAATCAGACGATAATCTCTGGTGTCTCATCTCTGATTATAGTGTCTCTAGCGAATCACTAGAGACACTATAATCAGTGTCTCTAGCGAATCACGAAAAACGGGGCCGTGACATCTCTCAGATGTTCTGTGCTCTCAGGTTTCTCTCTGGTGCACCTACCAACACGTAATTCTTTAATCTAAGGTAATCTTTCGTTTATTTGCAATATTACTATGAAATAACACAATATATAGTTTGTAAAGATAAGTGCACAAATAATTTTAATAATATTTTTAGTATTTCTATCGTACTTAATACCGTTTCACAAGGTTTTCAGGTTATGCATTTACAAAGTCGCTTAAAAAATATAACAATATAATAAATTCTCACATCGATGGTATTAATATATCATGAATCTTTCCCTTGAATATTGAATTGCTGTTGTGTGTTGTGTGCAATTGAATGATAATTGAAGTGCTAAAAATATTATTAAACTTGTTTGCGGACATGTCTATGCAACATTTCTAAAGAGTTTACGCTAAAAGAAGAGATTCATAATCGAGTCTCAGCATTTTAAAGTACATGCATTTATGAGATATTCTCATCCTCATTTAATTGTTTTTTTGCAACAGCGTTCTCGCAGAACTTGTCATAGTGGACATTTATATTGTCTACAGATTAACAGAATCCGTTTCGTAGCATCTTTGTATGCATGTATATGTCAATCCGACATTTCACTGTTTATATTATTTATATTAATATTTACAATCCTGTATATGAGCCCTTTTACCATGTCCATTTCACGTCCATTTATAGAGTGCGACAAAGAACGTGAAGTAGTATGGCAGACGTGTCAAATTCGCAACCGCCA